CCATTGTAACTGAGAAGTGTGATCACAGAGCTCTTCAAGGATGCTCCCCTGGGAACCCTCCTACACTGTTGGAGGCAATGTAAATTGGTACAGCCACTATGGAGAACAGTATGGAGGTTCCTCAAAAAACTAAAAATAGAGCTGCCATATGATCCTGCAATCCCACTACTGGGCATATATCTGGAGAAAACCATAATTCAAAAAGACACATGCATCCCAATGTTCATTGCAGCATTTTTTACAATAGCCAAGACATGGAAGCACCCTAGATGTCCATGGACAGATGAATGGATACAGAAGACATGATATATATATATATATATATATATATATAAAATATATATATGTGTGTGTGTGTCTGTGTGTATATATGTGTGTGTGTGTATATATATATATGTGTGTATACACACACACACACACACATACACAATGGAATACTACTCAACCATAAAAAAAAGAATGAACTAATTCCATTTGCAGCAATATGGATGGACCTAGAGATTATCATACTAAGTGAAGTAAGTCAGGAAGAGAAAGACAAACACCATATGACATCACTTATATGTGGAATCTAAAAAAAATGATACAAATGAACTATGCACAAAACAGAAACAGACTCACAGACTTAGGAAACAGACTCACAGACTTAGAAAACAGACTTATGGTTACCAAAGGGGAAAGGTCAGGGAGAAGGATAAATTAGGAATTTGGGAGTAACAGATACACACTACTATATATAAAATAGAGAAACAACAAGGACCTACTGTATAGCACAGTCTTATATATATATATATATATATATATATAATATATATTAAAAATATAAATATATATATATAGCTAAATCAATTTCTGTATACCTGAAATGCAAACACAACTTTGTAAATCAATTATATGTCAATTAAAAAAAAAAAAGGATGCTCCCCTCATGAATACTTCTTACAGTAGTGGTGAAAGGTATGTCTCCTGGACCCTCCCCGTGTGGTTGAGTGGGTTTTAAATAACACTAAAACCTCATCATTTTAAATCTCATCCCTGCAGCTGTAGGTTGAGGTCTCCTTCAGGGCACATACAGAAGCTTTCAGGTCATTTACGTGGCACTAGACCTGGGAATTCAAATCACGGAGCTTATGCTTTTCTTTCCTCACTTTGTCCCTGAAAATTAGGAGCAACCAGCCAATCTCATTGTATTCATTAGTTTGCCCAAAATGTTCTAAAGTATTTGAAAATATTCAAATGTTTGAAAGGGCAAAAATGTCTGGGTGACTGACTCTCCACAGTCACTCAGATCCTTGCTTCTAATAAGTCGTTGATTAGGAGTATCAGATGGTGATATTTCGCAGATCTTCATTGCCAGAGCACATCATGGATGATTAGTGCTCAATTTACAACTGGATATAGAGTCATACAACCACAAGGAATTCAATTCTGTAACAGCCAGTGAACTTGAAAGAGGATTCCAAGCCTCAGATGAGAATCACATCCCAACTGACACTTTGAAACCCACTCAGCTTTGTGAAATGCTGACACACAAAAACTGTAAGATAGTACATTTGTGTTGTTTTAAGACATTAAGCTTGTGTTCATTTGTTATGCAGCCATAGAAAATGAAGACAGTAAGAAGAAAATTTTGAAAGAGTATTAAGAAAGGACTTACTATATGAGATATTAAAATTCACTTTAAAAGTTTGATTATCCAAACTGTGTCATTCTTAGCAACAAAAGTTGATGAAAAGATCACAAGATAAGAATAAGTAGCTCTGGGGCTTCCCTGGTGACGCAGTGGCTGAGAGTCCACCTGCCGATGCAGGGGACACGGGTTCGTGCCCCGGTCCGGGAAGATCCCACATGCTGCGGAGTGGCTGGGCCCTTGAGCCATGGCCGCTGAGCCTGCGTGTCCGGAGCCTGTGCTCCGCAACAGGAGAGACCACAACAGTGAGAGGCCCGCGTACCGCAAAAAAAAAAAAAGAATAAGTAGTTCTGTAACCAACTGAGCATGTACATATAAAGATATGGCACCTAACATAAGGAAATGGTTTTTAACAACACTTGGGAAAATTGACTAAATATCTGGGGGTAAAATTAAATTTATAATCTTACCTTACAGCTATGACAAAAATGTTAAAGAGTTAAATCTAAGAAGTGAAATTATGGGGAAAAAAAACAGCTGCAGAAAGATTTGCAAGTGTAAAATATGGTGACATATACCATGTGCCCTAGTAAAATTCATATTCCTAGATCTAGTAATTCTATTTCTAGGAAAACCTTCTCAGGAAACTCAGAAATTAAAGATTTTCAAATAAGAATTTTTCTTTTAGCATTTTTTATAATTCCAAAAATATCAAACAATAGAGAAATGTTTAAATAAATTTTGATATAGTAATATAGTAGTATGTACACATACTATATTTTTCAAAAAAAAAGAGTCTGAGTACATTAGGCAAAACATTTTTACTAAAAGCACTTACTAATTTATACTATGATGTTAAATGGAAAAACAAGAAAAAACTGTTAATTTACTTAAATATAACATGTTTATATAGAAAATTTAGAAAACATATAAAAAAAAAGAAAAAGAAAAAACTATGCATAATCTCACCACCCAGGGCCAAACACTGTTACCATTTTGTTAAATACCTTTTTAGACTTTTTTCAATGTGTGTACCCATATTTAAGAATAACTTTTAAATAAAAACTATAATAATGCCTTATACTATATTTTGTAACTTATTTTCATTCAATAATATATGATAAACATATTTTTATGAAAAAAAAATTTATTCTAGGGCTTCCCTGGTGGCGCAGTGGTTGAGAGTCCGCCTGCCGATGCAGGGGACACGGGTTCGTGCCCCGGTCCGGGAAGATCCCACATGCCACAGAGCGGCTGGGCCCGTGAGCCATGGCCGCTGGGCCTGCATATCCGGAGCCTGTGCTCCGCAACGGGAGAGGCCACAACAGTGAGAGGCCCGCGAACCGCAAAAAAAAAAAAAAAAATTTTATTCTAAAAATTTGACTAGCTGCAGAGCATTTCATTTTATGCAAGTGATTTATTTAGTCATTTGCATATTGTCTTCTTTTTAAACTTTTTCTTTTTCTCTAATATTTAATGCTGTGAATATCAACCTGATAACTAACTCACATTCTTAAAAAGTTACTTTAGGGTATTTTTTTGAAGCCAGGAAAATATAAAATGTTATGATTTATAATTAATACGAAATTGTAAACATAAATGGGAAAAGAACTCTAAGATGATAGAGAATTTAGTAAGAAAGTCACTTTAGTTTTTAACTTCTAAATTTATGAAACCAACTTTCAAAAATGTTAAAGAAATAACTGTATATAGTTAAAAAGTCAAATAGCCCAGAGGGGTTTCTAACCAGCTCTATGAAAAGGGTGAAGCTTGTTTGCTGTCTAAGTTAGGGTAAAAAAGTGGTGATCCAGCTCTTTTGCTTTGGAAACTCTAATGTTAGAATGTACAGGACATTTCTCTAGGGTACCATCTTCCACATAAAGGTCTTAGTTCTTTTGACTCTTCCATTCAATCTTTAAGAAAAGAACACCTTACTGGAAGGGTAGGTAAATGCCTGTCTACTGGGCACCTGCTCCTGGGATGAAGGTTGGCTTGACCTGTTAGTCTATAGACTTCAGTTGTTCCGCGGTCATGACCCACCCTGACCCTCTATTGTACCTTGAATCCCAAAATTCAAGCTTTCCTGTGCTTCTTGAAATCAGGGCCAATCATTTCCCTTTTCAGATGCTCACCCATCTCTACCTGTTATTGACTACAAGTTCCTCCACTTGGATCATCCACAACCCCTGCATCTGCTTTCCGTTTTTCTAGAAATGTATTCAAATCTTAAATCTACGGATGGTCTCCGCTTTCTCTTCTTTGTTGTGAGAAGAACACACAAATCCCTGTTGTTATACTGTTATACCTGTTGTTTTTGTTGCTATTATTCCATTGCAGTACATTTAGTGTAGGCACAGATGAGAAACGGGACAGATGCACCTAATACACCACTTTGAACTGGTAGTTCCTACTTGTTTTATTTATTTTTAAATTTTATTTTATTTTTAATTTTTTTTATTGAAATATAGTTGATTTACAATGTCGTGTTAGTTTCAGGTGTACAGCAAAGTGATTCAATTGTACACATATATATACATGCATATATATCATTTTTTAGGCTGCGCCACGCGGCATGAAGGATCTTAGCTCCCCGACCAGGGATCGAACCCATGCCCACTGCAGTGGAAGCGTGGAGTCTTAACCACTGGGCCACCAGGGAAGTCCCTATGTATTCTTTTTTAGATTCTTTTCCATTACAGGTTCCTACGAGATATTGAGTATAGTTCCCTGTGCTATATAATAGGTCCTTGTTGGTTATCCATTTTATATATAGTAATGTGTATATTTTAACCTACTTGTTTTAAATATGCTTGGTTATTTGTTGTAGCGTGCGTACTTAGCAAGTTAATATCAATTTATTCATCTGTACAATGAGTGTAATGAAACATATGCCCTATCTACTTTTTAGATGGGATCAAAGGAAATTATCATATGCATGAAAAAGGACTCTACAAAGCCGAAAGTTACACACAGCCAGGGTTTCTTTTATTTCCTCAGTCTTCTTCCACTTGAAATATAGTTATTTCAGCTCATAACCTGGCTCATAAAGGAGGTTTCTCAAAGAACATAGACTCTTTCTCTTCTAAACCTATTTTATGCTAAACAAAACATAATATGATTTTTTAATGGTTAAGCAAATTTGTTTTAAAGGGGATTACTTTTTGGATCACCTTTATGGTGCTATTTTCTTTTTATTATTTCAAAATGTCACTGGTCTCAGTGAAATATTGTAATAGGCAAGACTACGCCAGGCTGCCTTTTTCTCCAACAAGCAAACCTATTAGCAGATAAAAGGAGAATAAAAGTATGCGTGAAATCTTTAATCCATGTGCTAATTGAAAAAGTAGTGCTATTTCCTTGTTGTTGTCAGGTCGTTAGGATCATGTTGGAGCTCATTCGTCAGCTACCAAAGAAGAAGGAAATGTGGGCTGGCTCAAGCAACTCTGCTCCTGGTATCCTCACTAGATATAACTTACTCATAGTGCCTTGCCCTACGCGTTCTAGCTGACCTAAAGGTAAATTAAAAATGATCAATATAACTAAGCCTTTATGCTTTCTCATTTGCTGCTGTGACTCAGTGCAGTTCACTTTTTGATGATTAATAGCAAACTAAGGCAACTCTCCTGTCGACATGCACAGGATTCCCACCCGGTTACCAAGCCATCAAGTGGCGTATACCACGATAAGCAGTCGTCCTTATCCTAATACACAGTGTTGCTATTAGGCCAGGGGTCAGGAGTGCAGAATGTGTCCCTGGCTAGAAAAAGAAGAATTCAGTACCTATTTCCAGACGCTCAAATTCTGCACTTGAAAAACCATGACTGCACCATAGCCTGTTACTCTAGGATTAACACAATTAAGAACAATTACTTGCTTTGATATCAATTCTGCCCTTCATTTCTGGTCAGGGGATGGAGAAACTGAAAAATATATTTTTAGAGAGTTTGTGATGATCATAGATCATACACCTGAATACTAGTGGTTATTTCCATAACCTAACCCTAAGCCTCCCCGGGAGGTCATAATTCTTGGCTATTTTTTTGACAACTTTCAGTGGATTGTTTTATACTATTTAAAGTTAATGTAGGCTTTTCCTAATTATATTTTCATTTGTGTTCAATTAATGGGCAAATACCAAGGGATTTACAGAGGCTGGCATTCAGACTTATCTCTTTATTCCGAGAAAGCTGCAGATCTTGCAGACTAACATTTCCAAGATTGCTTGATTGTGAGAAGCAGAGATGTGCATAGGTTAGCTACACTCAAACTCAGTTGCTTAAGCCAGTCATCCCTTACTTCCTGCAAATCTGTGGGCTGATGGGTGGTTCTGCCAGTCAGCTCAGCTGGGCTGATCTTGGGGAGGCCCACTTGTGCCTGTGCAGTCAGCTCTCAGGTAGACTGCATGTTCTCACTCCTATGTCTGACGGTTGGTGGTTGTCAACTGGGGTGACAGGGGCCATGTGTCTCTAATAACCCAGCTGACCAGACTGGGCTTGCACACATGGTAGCAGCAAACAAGAGAATGAGTGGAAACAAGCAAGACCTCTGGAGGCTTAGGCTCAGAACTGACCCGGTGTTCCTTCTGCCACAAGGGAAAAGCAAGTCAAAGCAAGTCAAACGAGTAGCCCAAATTCAAGGTGGGGAAATAGACTTCACGTCTTCATGGGAGGAGTTTCAGTACCACTTTGCAAGATGGCAAGTGGCATGGATACAGGGAAGGGTGGAGAATTTTGGCCACCTGTGCAAATTAAAAAAAAAAAAAAAAATCCACCTCAGGGAACATGTTTAAAAATGTAGATTCCTAGGTCCCTCCCCCAGGTATCATTGTCCCTCTTAAGACCAAGTGAGCTTGTCAATCCTATTTAATACCACTCCCATCCAGTGCTTTCAGAAAACCTAGGGAACTTTCTAGTCTACTCCATCTCACCCACAACCTCTTCCCTCTCTAAGATGTTGAAGTAGGCAAAGACTTATAACCCATTTTCTGCAAAATAAGATAAACTAGGCCGATCTTTTTAGTTCTTTTTTGAAATATGGGGTGCTTCAGGGACAGATGGTATTTCCATGGTGTTTGTATGCCAATGTTACTGACCATTTGGTCAAACTTAGCCTTCAAAAGATGGTACTTTTAACCCTATGGCAAAGTATTACTAAAGTCATTCCCTTAACAAACATTTATTGAGTATCTGTTATGTACCAGGTTCTATAAACATAAAGATATTAAACACAACATTTTTGGTAAACGTCAGCTTTGCTAGAAGAAAGAAGAGAACTTTATTGCCAGAAAACTTTCCAGGAGTGACTTGGAGTTAGTGACATTAAGCAAATAACATTTTATTATGTATACACCTGACCTAAACATTGACAAAAGCCTTCATCTTGAAAACTCAGGTAACTTTTGCACTATAAGAGTATGTATATAATAAGAATTTAATGTTCAGATTCATAATTAGCACCCTTAAAATTTGTATTCTTGTGGGTTTTTTCTTTGTTGGGGCATCTTGGTTGGAATTCAGTCCAATAAGGAGTGGGATAGGTCTTAAAATAACCAAAATTCACAGTGTGACAACAGGTTGAAGAGAAAATTCTATTTTTTTGGCAAGGACTTTGGTATAGATTATACCATTTCAGTATTTATACTTAATGAGCTATATCAGTGTGTCTCTCATATATTTCCTAGTCTATATTAATGGCTCTTAAATAATGAGTTCTTTCCTCGCTTCGGGAAACTTCTTCCTGAGTGTCTATTAAATGTGAAGCACTTGGGATATATCAGTAGAAAGCAGAGGGCCCTGCTTTTGTGGTACTTCATTCCAGCATAGCGAAATCCAGAGGATTTCCCCACCGTTAAGGGTTTTAGTGCTGTTAACAGTACCTTGTCCTTAAAGGAAAAAAATAAATTTTAGGGGGAAGTACCGTATTATAGGAGTGCTCATTTTATAGACTTCCCCCAGAAGGTTTTGATTTTGGAGGATATCAATTGCACCTCCCCTGATAAACGACCTCTTTAAATTATGAAGTGCTGGAAAATAAAGATAGGAAACACTCTCCGAGGAGGCTGGGGAACTGAGCGTGGCTGGGGGGGAGCATGGGAATTTGGGTATTCAAGGTTCCCAGAGAGGCCTGCAGAACAGGAGGCGGTCAGGCCAGACAGCTCTGCTCCAGCTGCATGTCTCCGGCCAGGCCAGGGCCCACAGGAAGCCGAGGGCGTGGCTGGCCAGGGCTGAAGGAAAATTCCAGAGCCCAGAGGCAGGGCCTGGGGGACACCACAGTGTCTTCAGCCTAGGCTTCCTTAAACAAACAGTAACCAAAACCTCCTCTGAAAACACCAACAAAAACCACCGCTAAAGTGGGAGTATTCAGAAACAAAATAAAATAAATAACATGGAAGTAGTTTCTTTGATTAAAAAAGAACCCCCCAAAATCGTTCCAGCCTTCAGGCCTTGTTAATAAAGGAGCCGTCAAAAAAAAGATATTGCAGAAGAAGCAGGAAGGAGGCAGTGAACCCAAGGGAGCTGCTGTTCGTGGGGGGAAAAATCCAAGCTTGGATGAAGCAGAGGCTATGGAAGATGGTCTGGGAGGAACTGGCCTGAAATGAGGGCCAGGAAATGGAGCAGAGAAAGAAGGTTCTGAGAGGAATCTGAGAAGCTTGACTTAGTGTGTGGTTTGGGCCCGAGCACAGTCTTGGCCAAGGAGCCTGTGAGGTTTAGGAGCTTGTCTCCCTGGGACAGCTACATCCATCCTGCCCCAGGTCCTTCACAGCCACCGCCTCGTGCAACAAGCCATGGCTCATTTCCACCCAATGGCTGCCAGTGTCTGTAGCTTAGTTTTTCTGCTCCTTTAGGACCCTCAGAGTTTGAACAGATGAATAAATATTTGATATATACGTGTATATATATGTATGTGTGTGTATGTATATACCCCTGCTAGTAGACATATAACATGTGGCTAATGCAATGTATTACACTGAAATTCATTATTTATAGTATAGTATGGACGTGTAGGTACAATGTGCATGTCCATAAGGTGAGAAAAACTTGTGAAGCCAGAACCGAACCAGGTAATCAAACAGAAGCGAGGTTACGAAATTGGAAACGTTCCAAAGAGATAGCGTATTTGGCCAGTCTTAAAGGCGAGGTAGATCGGAAGTCAGGTACTGTGATTCCAGAGTCAGCCGTCTTTGGCTTTTCTTGGATTTCTGCCACTTACAGCTGTGTGACCTCCGGCAAATCACTGAATTTCTCTTGCCTCAGTTTCCCCTTCTGTAATCTGTGGAGAGTGACAAGGTACACCTCTTGGAGTTGGTGGAGGGTTCAATGAGGTCATATAGGAAAAGAGCTCAGAAAGGCCCATGGTAAGCTCTCGATAAATGATGGCTGTCATTCTCTGCTTCGGACTAGTTGTCAAGATGGTCAGAGCAGCTTGTCAGCAATTTAAGCGCTTTCAAGGGTGAGGCAGATAAGGCTTGTGAGTGAAATCAGGGAGAGAAATGGAGAGTGCATGAATGGCTCATACAGGCAACCACTCCTCACATCCACCCCCTTCTTGTCAGTATTGCCAGATCTTCTGATTTATCGAGTAGTTGGATATCAAGACTTTTAGACAAAACCTCCAAGTTTTCAAATGCAAACTATCTCAAAAATTTTTTTTAATTCACTGCAGGCCCAACAAAATATATCTGTGGCTCACGACCTGCCCATGGACCAGAAGACTGTCAGTGGATGGACACAGTCAGACACAGTCCCAGAGGTCTGAGAAGGAGACGCACCCAGGAAGATCTCCCCAGGGGAGGAGAAGCAGTTCTCACCTTCACGGCGGGGTGTGGTTGGTTAGCCTCCAAGCAAGCCTGATGCAAATAATGCCTCTTTATTCTCGCTAGTGAAGGAGCTGGGCAGTTATTACACACACAGTCCTACTTTGTACCACAGCTCAAAAATGAAAAGCTGGAGGACCACAGTTGGTGTTCATCTCCATTTTAAACCAGGTTGGTTTTCACCAGGCCACCCTACTAAGCAGTCCCTTGGTAACGAGAGCACATCTCAGCTCATTCCTACCAGGCTACTTGCTGCTCTGCCCAAGGCCTTCTCTGGGGCCTTGAGTTGGTTACAAAGAGGAAACAGATGGCTGTTCGGACATGAAGGACCTCCACGCAAGGCATGAAAATGTAGATATGGTTCAGATGCTTGAGAACTGATTCAAGCCCAGCCACGTGGGTCAGCGAACACTTCCATTAAACTCTGTTCCTGGGGTTTTGGTTTTGGTTTGGACAAATTTCCTGAAGTATGGCCTTTGTCCCAGGATTTATTTATGATATGGACCCTTAACTTTTGAGATTTTGCAGATGGGCGATAGGACATAAGAAAGTGATAAGTCTAAATATGAGAAGCAC